AACAGGCAACATCGACTAAAAACAAAGATGACCTCGTGGCACTCCATCCTTCCAAGGCACCTCCTGGCTCCCAGTGATGACAAAGGAGCCTGAACGTCCTCCCTTCCACATCTTCACTTCCTTGACTTGTCATCTCCTCTTATTGTTCTGACCAGGAGGAGACAAACTCTCCAGCAGCAAGCAATCTGCCTCCACATCTGTTACATAATATTGATCAATCAGAGCAACACGGGTTTGGCTGGAGCTAGTAAGCACTCCTTGCTCAGAAAAAGATCCATTTTGAGCTCTAAAAGTAGTAATTTAAAAGACCTAATATGTTATCTGCTTGATTTGAAGCATTTATTTTACTGAAGGAGATGTGGATCAACCCAACCCTTTCATAGGACCAAATATAATCAAAGCAGAGATGTGTTTAAAGCCATCAACATGAAAATTGTTCCTATAGATTCAGGTCCACCAGTATTTGCAGTAACTGTGTTTAGCTGTAATTAGCACTGCTTGGCCTCAGCAGAGACATGATGTGGAGGAAGCCCTTAAACTTAGCAAGCAAACACCACTGAAAACCTGAACCCAGGCTGCAGACTGCAGCTGCAATCCTCCTGAAAGCTGAAGCTGTGGTTGCTACACCCTGAAGACCAAGGGCTGTCAACGTATTTTTGAGGCAACCACCAATTCAGTACAGTTTCCTGTCTGATTCAGGTGACAGGTACATCAGTTGCTGGTATCAGTTTTTCAGGACTGAATTTCAATAAAAATTAGAAGGACCCAAGAGTAGTCGATGTCTGTGCACTGATAGTTAACACTGAATTAACATAAAAATGAAGCCTCTCTAAACACCTGCAAGAGGAAACCTGCTTGCAGAACAAGCTACTGAAAAAAAAAAAAAATTACTATTAAGGGAGGTAGTTGTCAGAAATAAGACGGCGGGTGGATGTGTTTATTTATATACAGCAGCTCCAAGTAGGGGTTGCAGGTCCCAACATGCTGCATGGTTTCTGTAAGCAGTTGACTCCTTCACGTCCCCAACCCGCAGTCAGCTTCAAGGGCTGAACGCTGGAGGTGTGTGCTTGGTCCTGACGGGTTGTGAAACACTTCATACAAATCCCAGGGTATTTTTAGCATGAAGCAGGCCACATCGATGACATCAAATTCCATGTAGAACTTTGAAGCTTCATAGGAAAGATGTGGGGAGAATTGCCTGTGGGATTTAGGAGCACCAGTAATTTGTGATTTCTGGTCTCAGGGCAAGCTCTGCGTTTCCAAAAAGCCCTCCAAGGGTCAGCTCGCACATCAACAAATGTCAAAATTTTATAGAAATCTTTAAAGGTTTGAGAAGGACTACAGCTGCTGATGGCTTCAAATAAGGGTGCAGAGAGGGGGGATGAGTCTCTGGAGCCAAGGAGCCAGCGCCAGGCCCCGAGGGAATGGCCTCAAGCTGCCCAGGGCAGGGTCAGGCTGGCTCTGAGGAAGGATTTCTGTGCAGAAGGGGCTGTTGGGCGTTGGAATGGGCTGCCCAGGGCAGGGGGGAGTCCCCGGGATCCCTGGGGGGGTTGAAGAGTCAGGCTGAGCCAGCGCTGAGGGATCTGGGGGAGTTGGGAACGGTCAGGGTGAGGTTCATGGTTGGACTGGAGGAGCTGCAAGGGCTTTTCCAACCTTGATGAAGATGAAGAAACTGCAGGAGCAAATCTTTCAAGTGAGGGAAAAAACACTTCTTGGCTTGGTCACCATCCAGTGCAAAGCCACCAGGGTGAACCAGTGCAGGACTGGGATTGGTCCTGCCCCTTCGCCTCCTCTTCGCTTCTCCTGCAGTTTGCTCACAACTGCGTGTACCCAGTGCGAAGATCAAGCTATGGCACCAAGGCATGTTTTTGAAGAGCGATCTTTATGAAAGAGGGTGGAGGGTCCGACCGCTGCAGCAGCAGCACTCAGATGACAAATTAAATTTCAAGTTAATACGGGAACGCATACCAGAGGAACGAGCCAACCACAATTACTGACTCTTATCTCGCAGGAAAGATCTTTCTGTTATTGTGGGTAGCACCGAAAACATCAGCTTGGTGATCAGCACTGCTGGAACCAGTGAGAAGAAAACCACACGTGTCAAGCTCTTCTGCAAATCCACGGGGCATGTCGGCTTGGCTCCCACCTCCCAAAAGATGTTGTCAACACAGCTGGAAGAGGCTCAGGGAAGGATACGGATGGTCCGACGGTATTGAAAGAAGGTATGTGGTCTTAGTACTCAACCTCTCACCAAAACACGGCGCTCTGCTCAGCACTGGTATCGATATGACTGACACCTCCACGCCTGGATGGTTTTCTGCCCTTTTGAGTAGCTCACTGTATGCCTGTACTTAACTCCAACCATACGCACAACCGGAACATGCTCAAAAACCCCACTGGTGCCAGGACACACACGCTGCCCAAACGGTATCTGCATCAGCTGGCAATTATCAATCAGTGTATCTGGCAACGTTTTGCATACTCAAATAAATACAGATGGCTCAACACAATGTCCTGTCTCCATCACATCGTACACCTTGCTCCTGCTGCTTCCAACACACACCAGTGCTCTTCCTGACTCAGGCTCATTCACACGAATGGTGGGACCACTGATGTCCCTCCTGTCTCATCGCTCACACCCTGCACCTGATGCTCTGTGTCATGGGGATTTATTTCAGTAAATGAAGAAATTCTTCCTCTTTGTTTTCCCCTATCAAAGCCAATTTTTAAGAAAAAAAGTACATTACACAAAGCATTTTAGATGAACATCCCAACATGTTTACCTTTTCTACTGTCTACAAAAAGAAAAAAAATTACAAGCAAATTACTTAATACCATCAGGTTTAGTCAAATTTTAAATGAGGACGACAGGTTTAGCACCCAAGCAGTATTTTGAGTAAAATAAAAAGTTTGCCTTTCTACATGAAACCTGGTTTTAAGTCACCCAAGCTTCAAGTGATTCTTTCATTGCTCTTCCTATTCCTATGAGACATGATAATTTTAAATATTGGATAATTTGAGTCTCTGCAGCTTGAAGGTTTCTTCAAAACGTCAGCTTCTTGCTTTTTGTAGACAGACTGATGACACTGTAGCTAATTTGCTTAATTAGCGATTTGCAGAAAGATCTCTCTATGAGAATGTGAAACCCTTCAAATGAAATGCTTTAAGTGGAGAATCAAGAGACCATCCATAATGATTGTTTACTCCCATCTTCTACGTATTTTTGGGCCACGCTATTTCAATCAGCATCTCCTCTGATTGATGGAATTACTCTTCCTAAACACAGAGCTGAACTCAGCAAGAGGCCAAGTAAAACTGTCCCAAGTTTCTCCTAACAGAAGGATGGTGCTTTTTAAAAGAAAATTTTGCTGGGATTAGAAGGAAAGGAGTCAGCACATCAAATAAACACACATTTCCAGACGCCATCGTGCAGCCCAGAAGGAGTTTTCCCCTTGACTTCAGTAGCTTTGTTTCTATTACTCCATCTTTCCTTCCCCCGAGCACTTGGCTTTTGCTGACCGCTGCATCCAGGCACTCAAATCTTTCTAATGGGTGCTCCAGTACCGTGGAGCACAGGGAGAAGGCTTGCACAGATGTTCATTTTGTAAGAAACAATAATTCATGCAAATCCCTGCTCCAAGCAAATTCCACAGTAGTGCATCTTATCGTAAGCCAAACAAAAAGTACAAATACATTTGAGAACCGTAAACCTGTATTAAAAGAATTTGCTCTTGTTACAGCTTGAATTTCCCCCTCTCCCTCCAACTACTCAGCCAGGAAATGATCCGACACTAAACAACAACCAAACCACTAATTCCACCAGTGTTAATGAGAAGTGCAAACCCCAACTGCAATATAAAGTGAAGCCTGTGTTAAAGCACAACAGATATAACACACTTTGCGTTCACCCGTGATACTTTCATACACGTTTACAGTCTGAATAAATGCAAGAATAAAATCCTGGATGTGATGCTGGTCTCAGCAAATGTGTCACCAGGCTCCAGAGTGTAGCATCCAACTGTGCTGTATTTTTGCAGATTGCAGAGGTTTGATACTTGGGGGGGACACTCAGAGACAGCTCTACCACCTTCCCAAGCTTGTAAATTGAAATGTTATGTGTGTGCAGAGCAAAGCCTGGAAATGCATAGGGTCCTCTTGCCTGAGTAAAGTCAAGATGACTTTTTGAGGTTTTTTGAATGCAAGGAGAAAGGTTGACTCACATTTAGAGTCTGCACGGTGACCATGGTGAAGACCCCCTTCCCCAGTGCAAGAGGAGGCAGAGACCAGCACTGACCGTTGCACCACCCTGACGATGCTTCTGAGCACAACAGCCATGGCAGAAATGACCCAGCAAGACAAGAACCCAGATATTAAAGTATCATAAAAGCTACTTATAAATATATTTAACTCCGCACACATTTGTATTTTCTTTTCCACGTTTGTCCAATAGGTTAGTGCTTTCAACACCAGGGATTTTCCTCCATTTCATTAATCAAGAATCGGGTACTCTCTTGCCATATTTGGAGATAGACCAGCTTTCCACAGAAGCTCAAGATGATGAAAATAAACTCATAAAATATATTTTTAGTTTTTGTTGGGTTTGGGTTTTTTTTAGATGGCAAGTTAGAACCTGAATTCCAACTCAACCACTACGTTTCAGCAGAACAAAAAAATCCCTATGCTGAGTGCTCTCAAATAAGAGTCATGCCCCTTCCAACTCCGCACCAACAGAGACCTTATTATCCATTGGGGGAGGAAGTCAGATTTTTTCCACTTAGTTATGTTCCCAGGTAGTTCTTAAATAAGATTTCCCTTCCCTCTGTGTTTAAAGGGACACTTTAACACAAGCTAATGCCCTGGCCCTGTGCTGCTCCACCGTGCCATCGTTGTGTACTGAGCCCTAAAATAGAGCAATGACTGGCCAGCCACTGGCCACTGCGATTTTATTTCAAGGAGAGAACAAATGCCAAGATGCCAGAATTAACAACGCTTCTTCCTACCTTAATGATCATAAGTAAATCATCCACCTGCATGTCATTAGGAGCCCATGAAGGTTCTTCCAGCGGTGCCCCCTGCAAACAAAACAAACAAACCAGCTTTTAAACCCAGAGTTAAAATTCAGCAACATCTTTGGAGAACAGTATTTTCAGTGCTGCCAACCAGGCAATTCTGCCTCATTTTACTTATATGCAAAACTCAGCTTCTCATTAGTGCTCAAGCTAGAGATGCAGTTGCAAAAATTAAAAGAACTTTTAAATACAGAAAGCAAAATTGAGGGAGTTTCCAGGGTTAAAAGTGCTTTTGAGCAAGGCAGCAGCAGGTGATTACAGGTCAGCCGCAGCAGTTACAAAAGAGAAGGAGACTCTGATGTTCACAGCTTCCCTTGATACGTGCACTGGCGTTTGGGGTAAAGTGAAGTTGAGGAGGGTCCACAGCTAGAAGATAATTTTTATCGTAGTTAAGGTACCATATTCAACTTGGGCTCCTCCGAGTATGTATTCACCCAGACACAAGCAGTTGTAGCAGTTGAAAAAGCAGTTCTATGGACGTTCATTTATTGCCACCCCAAGGGAAGGGGCCAGGAAGCCACACGGTGGTCACTGGGGCTTCTGATGGCCACGTACCAGTGAGGCAGCCACCAGCGGAACTCCCCAAGCCCCAACCTCTCTGGGTACAGACTCTGGCTGTAGGATCAAGTGTGGTCCTAAAGGGAACGGGCTGAAGCTTGCCCCTGCAGTTCAGGTGACCTGCAGTGAGGTTTGTGATGTTTTCAGGTGTCTGCACAAACCAGGCTCCCTCCCCACCAGCTCTCAGACGTGGGTCCCTTGCTCCACCAGCAAAGCTGCACCGCAGGGCTCGTGGTTTACTCCTGAAGTCGAGATTGTTTCTGGTTGATCCCCACTTTTACATGACAAGCCAAGCAGCTCCCACTCTCTCTATCTCTGCTCTCCCTCCCAAAATATTTTTTCCCTACATCAGCTTTGAGGCAGCAGCAGGCTCCTTGCAGGAGTTTGCAGAACCAACCCCTCCTTTGACTAATCCCATCTTCTGGGCTGATGCTATAAAGTATGAAATCAGAGACCTGAGGCACTCCTAGATTTAGAGTTGAATATATTCAACCAAATTAATATTTTTTTTTCTGTCGACGTCTTTTCTCCCCAGCCTTGGGCAGGATGCGACCCAGCCATCTGCTCTGTCGGTGCCAAGTAGCTGAGGAGCTAAGACATAATCCCTGGGTGATCTCCTCACTGTTTTTCATCCTACTCAAGTGTTGACTCGAGCACTTGTTCAATTAGACAAGTCTCAGCACTTCAATCAGATGGGCTCACAAGGCTGATTTTTACCTCTACAGAGAAGAAAAAGGCTGATTTAGTCGAGTGTGATAGAACCAGGAGCTTCAAAGCAATGAGACCTGGAGATCACGTCTGCTCTGAAGTCTGCCAGAATCGCTGCTTAACCCAAGCAGACCACCAGCAACTTTGATTTTAAAAGGAGTTGAGAGCGAGCAGATTAAAGACATTGGATTTGGCAGGAAGGAGAAGAGCTGGGTTACTTTCCTGATATATCTTTTTTAAGGCAACCAGAGAACGGCTTATGTGCCTACTTTTTCTAGTCTCTGGCCTAAAGTCAGCAGCCCATAGATGTGCTGAATTCACTGGTCCCCCCGCACCACTTGCATTTTCCTCCTTATGATCCAGCATTTCCCAACACTTCCAACAATGCTGCTGTCCCAGGGCAGAGGGGTCTGGGGGCTGTAGAAACACAGTCCAGCCTTCAGACCGTCCTCTCCTCCCTGCGCAGTGGGGATGAGGTCCTTCTGTCCCTCAGCTATATGCATTTAAAACTAAGGGGTAAATTTTACAGGATCAAATTAGGAAGTTGGCGTAAGAAGCTGTGCTGTCAATATTTTCACAGTTCATTTATTCCTTCATTCACAAAGCTGCCAGATTCAAAGTGTGGCCTCAGACAGTGCTAAGTGCAAGAAATTTCGGAAGACTTTACATTCATCTCCAGCTTCAGAAAGCCTTGACGGAATGAAGGACTCCCCTTCCCTGTGGGTATTAGCATTATCTGAGGGGTAAAAGGGAATCAGCAACGAAGCTGAGTTTTTACAAAGCTCTGAGCAAGGCACACGCAGTGTGTGCTCCCAGCCCCTTGGAAGACAAGGACATCTCTCTGAAGGAAAAACGTACACTGGGAGGTAACAAAAAAAAGCAACTGCAAAGGCAGAATGAAGCCAAAAGAGTTTATAAGCTTGTAAAAGCTTATAAAAGTCAGTGCAACATGTTCGAATGGGTTTTAGAGCAGGCTGTGTCTTTAGATGGCTGTAAAAACAGATCAGTAACAGAAGGAGTAATTCATGGTGTATGACTTGCAGTGACTCATAAACCTCATTCCTTCTGACAGGTAAGGAACACGGTGCAGGCAGGCACTCAACTCGCTCGAGTATGTCAGAGTAGAAACACCTTCTGTTGTACATATTTATAAAATATCTTACATCCACATCTCTTCTTAGAAATTAAGTCACGTGGCCTGAGCGCAGAGGAAACACAATTGCCAAAGAGCAAACATATACGACAGAACTGAAAGGAGGTGGCGTGTCCCACATTTGGCTTATTCCCAGCCACATACGAGCTTTTCCACTCATCTGCCGCGCCCCGACCCCACTGCGCCCCAACGTGCCAGCAGTGTAATCCGCTTGCCAGATAATCCTCCAAAAATGCAGCATCCTGAGGATCTGGTGCAGTCAGCTGACTGCAGTAAGCCATGGCTGCAACCCACTGGCCTTAGGAATAATGATTACTATTTGCAAATATTATTTCTGTATGTTAGTTGCATATGGTTGGATGAAAGCAATTTAACCAGGTAAATGTGCTGTTATCCATCAACAGTATGGATGGCACACTGGATATAGGAAGGAGCTTCCATTCTCTACAGCCAAAATCCAGTTTTCCAAGTCTGGCAGCATTGGGAAATCCAACACTGACCAGATTCAGGTGTTTCTGGACAATGTTGTAACATAAAGTCGCTTCAGAAAGCTTCAGTCATGAAAGAGCCCTTTGGACTCAGCAGCCAAGTGTCTTCCAGTCCGGTGCTGGGCCAAAAGATTAGAGACTCCTTTGCAAACCTCGCAAGCCACAAGAACAGTTGAAGGAGAAAGGCTGCCACGTGCTCTCGGATTTTAGATTCACATGACAAAATAGTTTTATTGGTAAGAAATCAGGTGAATTGGTTGTGTTTGTGTGGGTTTTGAGAGCTGCAAGCTTGCAAGCTGACCTGCAGGCTCCATCCCCTGGAGATGGACTGGTCCATCAATGGGAAGAGCGCAAGTTAATTCCAGAAGAGAGTTCAGCCATGCTTGTACCTCAACAAATAACAGAGGCAGCTTATCTCGCAGAGCTTGGGAGCCCCAAAACTGCAGCTTGACTGATGGTTTCCCACCATGAAACAGGAAAATGCTATGGATGGTGAGTGTCGTGCTTGGGAGTGAACAGCTCGTCATTCAACGGTGTCCAGACACCTCACCTGAGAACAGGGCCCTGCCACGAGTTATCGAGAACTGTAGGATGTTCCCTCCCTAAAAAAAAAAATTACATCAGCAAACAGTACCTATAAAAAGATGGATGGGACCACAAGAAAGGTGCCATTCCTTGGTGTTTCTTCTCTCCCAGGAGAGCTCAAGCAGAAGGTTGGTGACCCAAACCCAATTCAAGAGCCTGGTGCCCTGTTTTACCCACTACATTAAGCTGCTAAACCTCTGCAGCCAGGTTGTGCCACTCTCTGTAGCAAACAGGCATTCTAAAGGCATGGGAATGAATACTTCGGTGGACCCACAGGCATTCAAAATGAGAACTTCACTTAAGATGAACATTTCTGCTCATTATGGAAATGATCACCCTGCTTGTTATTGAAAAATTTATGGCGCAACACCATTCCTTTTGTAAAAATGAGGAATACAAGCTCACAGACTAAGAGGTCTCTTTTGGAAGAACCCCACTGAGAAAGTGCTTTGGGAACGGTCGCATGAGGTGAGACTTCAGACAACATCAGTGGGTTTATTAATTGAGTATGTTAATGGTATAAAGCATTACACACAAAAATGTTCAAGATCTGGGGTTGGCAGAGGTGGCCTACAGTTATAGGACTCCTCTATCTCTTATTAAAATAATTAAAAGGCGGGTATTAGTTGGCTAGACATCCCCAAATCCTGCTGCCTGCATAATCCACCTGAAAGCCAAGTGTATCAAGGCAAATTAAAGCTGCCTTTAATCCATGCAAATCTCAGCACAGGAATCTTTTATTCCCTTACCTCCTGCCGCGAGTTTAGTCCTGCCCCACACCCCTTCATGCTGCCAGAGCTGCAGGGGCAAAACAACACAAAGCTCCATATTTTAGTAACACGGAGAACAAATTTTGGACCTTGTGCACATTTTGGTGTGGATGCAGCTTTACGCTTTCCCAGCTGAGTTGAGACCTAACGCTGTTCCACCCCGTGCTTGGTTTAATCATATGTATCGACACACATAAATTAGGGCAATTTGTGCATAAATTAGGGAGCGTCATTATGCTAATTGGGATGGTATGATTGTGACAAGCATGTTTGCAATCTGCCACAATCCTCTGGGATAGCACCGGGAGTGAGCTGGTGCATCTAAAGAGGCCGGAGCTCCGCGGGCACCCTGCTGCAGCGGGTATGGCTGCATCACCCCGGAGCAAGCTTAAATAATGGAGGAGAAGGGGAGAGGAGACCCGAGAGACCTGCTGGGATCTGCTTCATCTGAAATGCTGGTCTCTTTTCTGAACTATAAAGCTACCCCAAAAACAACTCTCCTTCCTAAACATCGCTTCCTAACCTCCCCTGCGATGCATGAAACAGGTCAATTGATAAACGGGGGCAGAGAGAGGCTGTTAGAAAAATAAACCAGCGAGGTGTATGTAAGGCAAATAAAGAGCAGGAGACTCAAATCCCCTGCGTTTTGCTTTATCAAACCTAATGCGAAGAAACAAGTCGTCCTCACAAAGAATCAGAGCTTCTGCACTTTACCCCTTTCCAATCCCCACCTGAACTGCA